CCATCTGAAACTCACATTCCACATCTACTCCCACCTTATCTTTCCCCTCTTACAGTCAGAATCTTCACCAAGGTCTTTATGCCTCCTGTCTACCATTTATCCCCTCTCTTTCTTCAGCCACTTGAGTCTAGGGTTCACCTCCATTATCTCATAGGATCCCCCTCTCCCGCGACACACATGCAACATCCTTACAGCTAAACCACACAGATCCTTTTCAGAACTTACCTTTCTCAGCAGTGTTGAAACTGCTGTCTCTTCCCTCTCCCTGGATTATCCTCTTTGCTTAACTGCCAACCCCCCACTCTCCTTGTTTCCCTCCTACTTTACTGGAAATTGCATTTTAATCTCCCTTTAGGGAGTCCTCTTCCCTCCATAAACATGCTTTCCATCAGAGTTCTTTCTTAAAATCGCTTTTCTTCTATGCTACCACTTCCACAACAGGATGACCATAAAAAAATAGCCATTCATTCAAATCACTGCCTCTCGTTTGACCTTATTCAAATCAGCAAATGTTTTATTCTCAGTTAACATGTCATGCTTCAAAGTGGATTCTTTGCACCACATCAAAGAAACAGCTAGTACTTAGCCTTCTGATGGAAAGCATAGCTACCTTGAAATTTTTTTTATGATTATAAAATGACATGTTCTCATTTAGAATAATAATATTATAAGATATAATATGACACATATAGGGCACAATTTTTCATATCTCTGGTTGTATACAAAGTATATTCATACCAATTCATGTCTTCATACATGTACTTTGGATAATAATGTCCATCACATTACACTGTCATTTCTAACCCAATGCCCCCTCCCTTATTATCCAAAGTTCATGTATGAAGATATGAATTGGTGTGAATATACTTTATATTCAACCAGAGATTTAAAACATTGTGCTCTATATGTGTAATAAGAATTATAATGCATTCTGCTGTCATATATAAATACAAAAATAGTTTTTAAAAGATATAATTGCTGAGGGCCATTGCCAAGTAGGAATGACGCATCGAAATTTCCTTGCCAGCGTACCCCATGTTAAATGGACTTGCCTTGGAATTTCACTGTTGACGTTGCATGTAAGGTGACCTTGCTCAAGGACCAGGGCGGATCGGGGTTTAGAGCTGATCAGGTTTGAGGAAGTATCCTGCTCCTTGAGTTTAAGGCATTCCTGGTTTAAGACAAGTTTAGGGTGTTCCCGGTTAAGATAATAGGGGTTTTAGGGAAGTTGGAGGTTGAAGATTATTGCTGCTGGGATTAGGGTGTTCCTGCTGCTTGTTCTCGTGAGATTCAAATGGGATTTGAAAAAAAGCCTCCTGGAGTAGGTGAATGGGGCGGGCAGATTTTGGATTTCCCCTGAACGTGTTTGTTAGAGGCCGGTGCGAGTTCGGGAATAAAGAATTGCTGTTTGAATCTACAAGGTGTGTGGTGGCTCGTGATTCAGTGCCAAGCCGAGACATTGGCATATAATATGATATAATGTATTAAAGCGCAGTATAATACCCCAAGTTCTATCATCCAGAGATACTTACTGTTAATTTCTGGCATTTTTTTCAAGGCTAACTAAATAAGCTCACACATTACTTACATACATTTTATGTGTTGAAATAATCATATTCTTCACTTATTTTAATGACTGGGCATTTATTTGTGTCATTAAAATTAATCATAAATATTTTAATGGCTCTATAATGTCTATCCTATGAATATAGGATCATCCAAGCATTACTACATATTTCAAGTTTTCAAATTTCTTCTATACATTTTTTTCTTAGTACACATTCATAAAAATTGATCTACTTTACCAAAAAGCTTCTGCTGTCTGACTCTTAAGGAAATCTTAAAAATCACCCACTTCAAGTATTATGTCTATTTATGTGGCAATAGTACAGGTGTTTCTTATTTTCAGAGATGTTTTCTACATTTAAAATAATGTTATTCTTTTGATTCAGAAGTCTTTAGTTACTAAACAAAGTTGGCTTTTTGTTAATTTTGTTTGTTATTTATATATTTTTAAAAACCATTCCTTCCAATTTTTTTTTCTTTCTCCTACCTGTTAAACATTAAATGTAGATGAAACAGTACTGAGAGAAAAAGAAATCTCCATGTGAGGCATCTGAGGAGAGACAGAGCAGAGCAGACCTGGAACTGGCAAATTGTGCTGACTTTCTTCCTTTTCTAGTTGCAAAGGCTGAAAATACCTGTTAGATTTGTAATTGAGAAATGTAATAACCTTTAGGGCCATTTTTCACACTGTTCACAGCTTCCCGTAAGGGTCGGGAGAAGATGGATGGGTGATATTTATGAGGAAGTAGGGAGGGAAAAAAAATGAAACCTGGAAAGACAACAGCACTCTCTCTATGGCAAATGATCCATAGACAAATACCAGCATTTACTTCTGCATTCCACTCTGCCGAGTTAACGATGTTCATGCCACCAGACTAACACCTCCTGTTTCTCATGTCACCCTACTGTTTGAGGAGCCTGCCCCATGAGTAACAAAGTGCAAAACTGTTTCTTCACAGCAAGCAGAATGAGAACCTGGAGGTGGAAACTGAAACAACGCTCCAGAACCCCAGGACTGGGAATGCCAGGCAGATGAGTAAGGACACACCAGCTCCCACTGACCCCTCTGATCACAAAACCATGGATAACCAAGATGACATGGAGGAGGGTAAGCACCCAGCCAACAACCAGAAACCAGAGAACCACCAGGAACTCCTAACAGGAACATACTGTGGCAGATTCCTGGATGGCAAAGTGAGTAACGAGAAATTCCCATGCTTTTTTTTTTTTTGTAATTTACTAGGAAAATGGAAATGAAAATATAGGGTCCCACAAACACACACTTGTACACATAAAAATTAATATGTTTTGCATGAAATGGAAATTAGAATCATTACTTTTTCAATCTGAAAATAAACTTCAAGATCATCGGTATACTGCATCTTTGTTGACCACCAATTGAGTTGGTCAACCTACTCTGGCTGTAACTAAATCAGTGATATTCAGTAGTAACTACAGTGATTAAATATCACTATCTGGGCAAAGTTCTGGCCTGCTGGAGGAGCAAGGTCTGTCTGCGTTCACATAACAGGAAGAGAAAAATTTATTTTCAAAATCCAATATAACCATGTCTAAATATCAAAAAATTATAGGCCAAAAACTGTCTTGATAGAAATATGTATCACTGCATGCTGTTAACAATCAACCAAACAATCCATAACAAACTGACTTTTAATGATGAATCTAAATGATTAGTAATTTGTAATTAAAAAGCAAGTATAGCAGCAATTGAAAACTGGATCTAAATCAAGACAAAACTAATGATTCATTGATAACAAAGTACAATTTCCAAAAATTGCTGAAATTGCAATTAAACAGATACATAGGGTAGGAGTTTTGCAATGCTGCCAAGCTCTAAGTGACAGCCAGATATTTTAGTAGAATACTGATTAGGGTCTGCAGCAAACTCTAACATAACTATTTTTGGTTGAAAAATTTAATAGCCCTTTTAAAATCACTGAGATACTATCTAGTCTTTAGTTATATGAGAAAAGGACTACCTGGGGATTTGTGGTCTTTTGCTCATAAGAACTACTCAACGTATTACAGATTTTGAATAGTGCAAGCATACCAATGGACGTCACATGTTGCTCCACAAGGTCTAGATCAACACTGAAGTCCATTTATAAAAGTAACTCTCTCAAAACGTTAGTGGCATAGCCTAGGATGGAACCAGGGCCTTCTAGTCTCCATTTAATGAGTTTGGGGTTTTTTTTTTTGTTTTTGGCTTTCCCCAGAATGAGTTCTTGAATTTTGTTCCTTCTTAGAGCAGGAGATAATGAATCTGGAGAGGTGAATTAATCTAGTATGAACTTCTAAAGACTTCTGAGTTGTACCCTCAAATTTGACTCTGACATTGATAAATTTCTTGTTGTTTCTATTGCTTCCCAAGGATGACATTGGTAATAATAATTCAGTTAAAAAACACTTATTATTGACTGCTTGCATGTAAATTTTATTATTAATAAAATTAATAAATAGTGCTACTATTAATAGGTAGCACTATTACTTCCATCATGGAGGTATGGATGATAAAACTGAGACTTAGAAAAGTTGAAGTGACTCAGGTGTGCAGGTTAGATATTTACCCAGGTCTTTTAAATCTTTTTTTTTCCTTCTTCTTCACTTGAATTTTTCATTGATCATTCTAATTATAAAATATTACATACTCATGTGGAAATTCTGGAAAAGAGAAGGAAGTAAAACGTAACCAAAGAAACTAGTGGTTCTCTTGCCCTTGATTTCTCTTCTTTTCTCCATGCTTAGTTACAGAATGGAATCATTATGTGTATGTTCATTGTTATCCTGCTCAATTCACTACATATATAGAATTCTCTCCTTATAATGAAAAAAAAATCATCCTACACATCATATTTAATGACTCTCTGTAAGAGTCATATCCAACTAACACTTGGATAGCATTTGCTATGTGCCAGGCACTATTCTAAGCTTTTTACATATTATTAACTAATTCACTATTCCCAAGCACCCAGTGAGGTAGGAACTCTTATTATCTTTAGTTCATGAATAAGGAAACTGAATAACAAAAGGTCAAGTGACTTGCCAATTTCTTAAGGCTAACTAGTGACAAAGCCACAATTCAAGCCCAAGTAGTAGGTCCTGAATCACTAAATTGCATCTCTTCCTCTCTATAGATAGAATGTGGTTAATCTAATATGTCCCTTATTTAAGTCAATTCTAGTTTTCCTCTTACAAATCCAAATTTGTTTCTTGACACTTCTCCTAATACCTCCACCCACCATTCATGCCATGAATTCTGCATCCACCATTGCAATGGGCAGAATGTTCATTGGGTGAGCAGTTCTTGGACCTCCATGATCTGTAATCTTTGCTGGCTCTATGGTAACAGAGAGAGGGGATTTGCCTCTCTTTTCTCAGAGCTCATCAGGTTTTTGTGGGAGGCTCAGCAGGGCTAACACCCAGCCACCAAATTCAGGAAGGCCTCGTGGGAAGTGTGGGGACTGACTAATTGGTTCTGTCTGCCAGGCAGGCCTGTAATGCTGGCTTGCCAGATGGCTGCCACCGTCGCCGGCTACAGAGACCCTCATTACCACCTTGACTAAGTGGTAAATGGAATCCTGCCGCAGTTACAGAAGCAAACCAATCAGAACTCCTTCTAGATCCTTGTCACTCACACATAGATGAAAATAAGTTTCCCTGCCTGGGACATAACAGGCAATCTGGACTGGCTGAATTTGCTCCAAAAGCAAAGTTGCTGATAAAGACGGAGCTAACATGAGTGAGGATGGGCAAGTGTGAAATAACAGATTAAGTTCAATGAGTATCCTTGGTAGGAGGTAAATAAAGCTGAAAATGCTGCAAGAATCCATTTTAAGTACATGAGAACAATGAGGTATTGTATAGATGATCAACAAGTACAAAGCTTGATTTCACAAATGAAAAACAAGAGACCCAGAGGGCTTTAGTGATTTGTGAAGGTTCATGTCAAGAGAGCTTGTTTCCTCTTCCCATCATCCTTAGGATATTTCTCCGGAGAGTCTGCTCCTAATGGGTAAGTCTTTGAAGATGTATATATTGTTATATTGTTTTTCAGAATCATTAGCTTTGCCTTCTCTCAGAAAAGTTATTTTAAAAATAAGGTGTGATGAACAACAAACTCAGTAACACAGTTTCAAAAATAAAATTTGATCATGATTTTTGCATCTGTCAGCATGAAAATAAAAGTGTGCTTTAATTTTAATAGTCTTCACAGTTCACTGCTTGGGCATGATTTTCAAAACCCTTTAGCATGTATTTTCCTTGTTACACTCCCGTGAGGTAGGAAGAAGCACATGATTCTATCTTCATTGAATAGATGAATAGGCAGAGGTCAAGGACCCTCTTGCCTGGCTGTGTATTCACGGTGTATTCACCATGTGCAGAGCAGAACCTGCGATCTGCTCTTCCTTTGGTAGTCTATATCTCATAGAATGATCCCATCCTTCTTCCATTGGTGCCAGCAAGAAACCTGAGCATACTTTCCTTCTCTCTCTCCCCCTCACTCTGATGTCCAACCAATCTCTTGAGTCTTTTCCGTTTTTGCACCTTCATGTTTCTCAGAATGTTTTCTTTCATTTTTTTCTTCTGTCATCACCCCAGTCAGACCACCATTCTATCCCACCAGTGACTTTAGTGTTCCTCAAACTATTTTCTTTTCTCAAAACCTCTCTATCTCTACTGGTTAGCCATTTTAAATCAATACTGCAGTGTAACAAATCACCCAGTACTCAGTGGTTTTTAACAATAATTGAATATGCTCATATTCAAATATATAAGCCAAGGCAGCATTCACTGATCTCATGTGGGTTTTATCTAGGCTTGGCTGTATCCGCTTATTTGGTTCAAGTCTGCTATTTTTCTTGATCTAAATCCATCGGGTCCCTCAAAGCATGTTCATGGCATAGTGATAGATGACAAATTCAACTACTCAAGTACATTTTAAGTCTTTGATTACGTCATACCCACTAACCTATTGTTGGTTAAAGCAATCAATCCACCACATGGCCAAGCACAACACTGATGAGTTGTGATTTATAAATATATATGCCATGACCTATAGAATTCAAAAGAAAAATCTACCTACCTATTATAATTTGTGTATAGTAAAGTTTACATCACAAATGAACAGGGGAAAGATGGACTTTTTAATCAGTGATATTGAGATTATTGGAAAGTCATACAGAAAATTTAAATTGGGCCTATTCCACATATGTCATACATATATGGAACATATATTATTGATATATTCCAAATGGATCTTAGATTTCAGTGTTAAAAAATAAAATTACAAATAGCATAGGTAAATATGGGTATTTCTTCTATCTCCGGGACTGAAGGAGAATTTTCTTAACTCTGACTCAACATTCACATATACCAAGAAAAAGAGTGAAATTTTCACTATTTATTTATGGACAAAACCACTGTAAGCAAAGTACCAAAATCTGAAAAACTGAGGAGAAATTTGTCATTGATATCATGATAAAATATAGACCTAATATATAGAATTGTCTATGTGAAAAAAGAGATTAAACTATTAGAAAAATACGCAAGATGAGCAAACAAAATGAGTTTGTTTTTACAGAAAAACAAATGTAAATGTTTCTTAAACTTACCAAAAAACAGAGCCTTGCTCTTAATAAGTGGAACATAAATTAATTCTTTCTTATAATAAAATTTTCTTACTGGCAAAATCATGAAATTGATAGCATGCTTTGTTTAAAAGCTGTGGCAAAGAAATACTCTGTTATATCGATAAAGGAAATTTAGAATGGAACAACCACTTTGGAAGAAAACATTACAATGATTAGAAGCTCTTCCTGTGCATTTAGTTTTTAGCATGAAAATTGCACTTTCAGAAATCTATCTTAAGGAAACACTGGAAAATTATTAGAGATTTCATTCTGAAGGTATTCATTACAACATTACTTGTTATTCCAAAAAAAATAAACAACTTAAATGTTCATCAATAAGGAATGGCTGAATAAACAAAGATACATCCATGTATGGAATATTATGAAACTATAAAAAGAAATTATGGGGCTGGAGATATACATCAGTTAGTAGAGTGCTTGCCTCACATGCACAAGGCCCTGGTCCAATCCCTAGCACCACAAAAAAAAAAAAGAAAGAAATTAGGAACTTTTATATACATATGTGTGTGTATACATATATAT